AGGAACTCGCCCATCGAGCTTCAATATTACCGCTTTCCCGTCAGGTCGAACAAAGTACGGAGCACTGTTCTTTCTCCATACGAAATCGTACCCCTTTTCCAAACATCTTTGACCAACAGAAAGTACAGCTGGTGTGCTCGGCAAAACATACGGAGTGACGACCTCGTTCAACTGATCAATGGAGAAGTCCGCAATCTTGTCTGCACAAATTGATCCATTTGCTGTTGAAAGATTGATTGGAGTCAATGCAGGATTTATCTTCTTTTGAAGTGTAACTGCACGCTCAGAGTCGACCAGATCTTGTTCACTACCTGTGTCGACAATCCACTGACGAAGCCCTGCTGGTGCTGGCGTAGCAATGTACTCCGGCACATCGTCAAGGTTCATTTCATCATCATCAATCCAACAGCCAGGACAATATAAACCGCAATAAATTGGGTCATTGTCATCATAGTATTCGCAATAGAACCCACAAGGCGCGTTGTAGTTTGCATGCATCAGGTCAACAACCCCTTCCAGAATCAAAGCTTTGTCTTTAGCATCGCTCAGATCCTTGGGATTTGAGCCAGGCGCACAACCATCATACCACACAACCTCAGGGTCATTCGGCTTTGGAGCACATGATAGGCATAGCCCATTGGCCTCGATCTCGACGATCTCGACATTGTCTGCGAATTTCACGCATCTGCGGGTATTGGAAACATCTGTACTGCAAATGAAAATTGTTTGCCCAGTCCAGTATTGCTCCAAACCTTCATCAGGATCCGCCCAGAAATCACCAAACACTTGCTCTTTGCCATTGATGTTGGCTTTGGTGATGCGCTGATCCAATAAACGTTCCAGTGAAATCGGAAGGTCTTTTGCACTCTTCGGATCATAAAGCGCTTTTCGAGGCATCACATGGTGTCGAATGATCATCTCGTTCACCGAGTCAACTTCCCAGAAATCTTGCTTTGGGCGGCATGCTGCGAGGCATGCATTGGTCTCTTTCACCCTCAGACACACAGCGGCTGAGGACTCGCCCTTTTTGCTCTGGGATCGCTTCCTCCCTTTTCCCTTTGGGGTGGGAGACCTACCTCTGCTGGCTCCTTTCTTTGGGCTCGGCTTATCTGTTGCTGGTGCAGCAGACCGAGTCTCATGCGAAAACGCACAGTTGTCTCCACGAGTGCATTTCCCCTGACCGCCTTTGAACAACCTGCACGGGATCTTTTTCAGCTCCGCTCTCTTTCTCGATGCCGACCGATCCCTGTCTCTCCCCTTGCTGTCAGAGCGCCCCCGACCTTTTCCTTTTGGATTTTGGCTCGGGGGTCTTGGGTCTTTCTCATGCTTGTAAATGCAATTATCCCGAGTGCACTTGCCTTTCTGAAAATCATAGCAATACCTGACCGCTGAAGGATCTCTTGCACGCCCAGGATTTGCATTGGGAGCTGGAGCACCGACCTTCTGATTGTGAGCTCGAGCAACACGATCACGATTTGACTGCAATCGCTCCCGAGTCAAAACATCACGAACGGCTTGAACAAGAAACTCGTAGCTCTTGTCATACGACCCATCTTTTGCACGCTCGTATGTATCGAGGTCATACTTGATCTTGTGACATCCACGAATCTGTCGCAAGAAAATGTCCTTCAAGACGTGCTGCTCCGGAACGATCTTCATGCCAGCAATGACGGAATCCCAATTCTGAATAAAGGTCATCAAATCATTGCCATGAAGCACCACCTTCAACAAATCTTCAGTGGAATACAACGCTCCGGCCTCCTCATTTGTTCTGAAATACTGCTCAAACATGAGAAGAACTTGACGTCCACGGACAACTTTGTCCAAAGCAGCTTGTTGCTCCTTGTAGGTGAGGATCTGCCGACTAAGGTCGCCCCTAGCAATCCGCGACAAGGCCGCAAGAAGCTTTGTATCCAACGTTTCAAACTGCTCTGGATCTCCAAGCTCTAACATGAGATTCTTCTTGTCCTCCCGGTTGACGTACACCTTGTTAACCCAGGTGAATGCAGCATCAGGCCGATCTGAAGCAGCCCGAATCTCTTCGCGAGTAGCCGTTTTCCAGGCTCTATAGGTCTCAGGAGTGGGAAACTCACTCAGCCTCAACGAATCAGCTTCCTTTGCTTTTGGCCGATCATGCTGATTCCGGACGAAGCCGAGGAGGGCCGCACGGAACTCCGCCTCGGTGGTCTCGGGACCAGTCAACCGATCAATGTTCGGCTGATTTGTCGACTGATTTTGCTGACTTCGGCTGTTCTCTTGCTCCGAAGACCGTCTCGCATGATCTTTGATATCAAACTGCATTGCACCAGAAATAGGATCAGTCCAACTCTGCTGTGGAATAATCTGTGGCATAGTTCCAGAAGTTTGTGCATTCTGCGTTGGAAAAAGACGCGGATCATCAAAGATACTGCCCCTCTTATCCAAAAACGACTCCGAACTGACGTTCTGAACACTTGACGCAGGCTGAGGATCTTCGCGCACCATTTCACGCTGCGCCTTTTCGAGATCGTTCCTCAGACGCTCAACGGTGTCGTTCAGCCCGTTGATCGTGTCCTGCATGGCGTGGTTCTCCGCCAAAATACTGTCTCTCTGCTCACCGACCGCCTTCTCCGAATTCTCCATCACAACAGTTTCAGCATGTAAGCTTTGTGCGAAAGCGCTATACTGTGCCGTTCTTTGCGACACAGCTTCGTTCATTTCGGCAGAAATTGCTCCCCGCATCTGGCTAACCTGGGCGCTGAAGAAAGCGCGGGACTCTGCGAACTGCTCGTGCAGCTCAAGGGTCCGGCGGTTGTTCTCCTCATCCAGGCGATGCACAGTTTCTGCCAAATGAGCGCTATATTCCGCCCTTACAGCATCCATAGCAACGCGATGTAACGTGTTGGCCTCTTCCCTAACAGCGTCACCCGTGTCGTTATGCACATGCATAATGTTCTGGGTGGCTTGGTAGTTTGTCGCGAACCCGAATACATTTCGAGGATCGCGAGGGTCAACAGGACCATTGGATGCAACTGCACCTTCACTACCGTCACCAACGTCTCCAGATATGTTGTAAATAGCAGGTATATCTCCGGATGCCATGGCGATCTTTGTACAAGCCTTTACGGCTGATAACCTGTGTTATCAAGCCTAGGCCACCTAAGGTAATACCTAGGCAAGCAGCAAACCGTTGACTACTTTTCACACTGCTGGTAGTGCAATTGAAGTCTGTAGCGGCGGAGCATGTACAAGGTACACTCATGCACAGGGTTGGAACCTGAATCCACAAAAATGTGCGCCAAAACTCTCCAAACCCTGCCTAGGTCCGATTGGGGCTTGCGCTTTTTGGGGTGTCAACAGTTGACATATTTTGAGGCTTCTCCGGCTGCCATCGATCGGACCCTCAGAGGACCATAGTAATATCATCTCACCGCCTGTTTCATAACCCAAGTAAAAAGGCAACAAGGACAAGGGTTGAACACCTACCCCCTACTCAAAATACCAGTTTTTTCAGGGTATGTTTTGGAAAACCGATCGGTTTTCCATGGTAAATACCTCCTTTTCTAGTAGAGGGTCGACATGATACCCTGAAAAAAGGCCGGGTATTTGGAGTAAGGGGTATGCTCCCCTTGGACAGTCTCACCTTGCCCTGATCAATGGATCAAGCCCAAAGGCTATGACTTGAGACTTCCAGCGGCCAACAGCTCACTCCTGAGATTGGTCAAACCAAAAGTCCAAATTTCAATCTGGGCCCTGAGGCTACCCAACATCGCCCCCCCCCAAAAAATGAGAGCAACCCTTCCCTACCCTTCTCGGTTGCTTTCTGCTCCCCTGCAAAAAGTTTAACTTTTAGCGGTTTAATGGAAAACCCATTAATTGGCAAAAAGTTAAAGTCCTAACAGCCAAGCAAAATGCGCCAAAGCTTTCTCCTACTCAAAATACCCGCTTGTTGCAGGGTATTCTTGGGAAAACCGATCGGTTTTCCATGGTAAATACCTCCTTTTGAAGTAGCGGGTCGACATGATACCCTGAAAAAATATGGTATTTGGAGTAGGGGGTACGGGTAGTTCGATGCTCGTAAAACGAGTCCTTCCATCAAAAAGTTGAAAGTCCAGGAACTAAGGTTTCTGCACAAGGCAGAACCACTTGCGCCACCTTTCCCCGGTTGCTAATAAATGTTTCCTCTTCATTTTGTGGAATATGCTTGTCCCCGGGCGCTTGGAGCGTCTCCAGTGTCCACTTGAAAAAAACTTGTTGAGATCACACTGTGGGTGGTTGCGAAATCCATTTCGCACCACCTAAGACACCCTCGAAACTGATGATTCCCCTCTAAATATCAATAAACGTTGTGGTTTCAACCATAGTTTCCAAGTCCGATGGGGAATCCATCGCTAGCTGTTTTCTCACGGTGGGATTGCCGTCCATGGTCGTCAATCATGCGCAAGAAAACGACCACCGGCCTAAGCAAACCCCAAACCTGCAATAACCAGCAGGAAAAGGAACCTTCTGTTGGTACTCGACCCCTGGAAGACCCACCTGCCCGGGGCATATTTAAAAGCAAACTGATTCCCCGTGATAACTTCACCTTTTTAGTTAAGAGGTGAATGTACGATTCCCTGAAAGTTGACATTTGCAGACGGGGGGGGGTCTTACATGCACCCCCTCCACACAAAAAATGCAAATCGAAGCGACAGAAGCAACCCAATGGACCCCCCGCTTCTTTCAGGGTATCATGTCAACCCTCTTCTAACAAAATATGTGTCTTCCCCTGGAAAACCGATCGGTTTTCCCCACATAACTCAGAAAAAAAGACACGGCATTTGGAGCTCTCGGGATAAAGATCTGGGAATCTTTCCATCCAAGTCCAAGAGAACAACAAACCGCCGGTGTCCCTTTTTTGGGGCAAATGGATGGGTTTTTCCCTGGTAGATGATTAAACTACCGGGCGAACCAGGGATCGAAACCCCATCTATTTTTTTCGACCAGAACAATAGAAAAAGGACACCTTTTGGGTACCGCTCCTCGCCGTCGTCGAGGGAGTTCTTGTTCTTGTGTGTGTTTCTGCTTTTGCTCATAGTCCTGGCGAGCTGCAATCTGCCAATCGTGGGATACTCCGAAGATCCTGGAACAAGGATGCTCGCTGATGAAAGGAAACCCAAGGAAGCCAAACGGAACCCAAACAAACTTGAAACTGGTGCCGGTTCTTTTCGATGCCGTGCAATTTTCGGCTTGGTTTAAATTAAAGTGAACGTTGGCAAAAGGGGGAAACCACCAAACTTTGGGGTCGCGCTATTTGGCCATGGGTCAAAATCCCGTACCCCCAGTGAACATCCCAATCCCAACTAAAATAGACTAAAAATGGGTGGTGCACCTACCCCAAAATGAAAAACAAGTTTTGACCCACGGCCATTTCGACACGTGCTCAAGGGAATTCGAGGAAAGGGGCCTGCCCGGTTTTCGCTCGTGCGACCCAGGCTGAACTGCTCGCTAAGTGCCACGGGGGAAACCAAAAGCTAGCATCGCCCTACAAGGTTTTAACTGGGCTGCCCGTTTTCTGATCCCCCGCTAAAAGTCCAACTTTTAGTGGGTTAAACGGAAACTGCCACTAAACACTAAAAGGCTAGAAGGCTAAGGGGATGGCTGGGAGCCACCAAGTTATCTCAGCATGGTCCCGGTGAAATGTCCAAACCAAACAGCCCCGCATTCCGTTTGCCAGCTCACAAAATACAAAAACGGCTCCTTCAGATGTCCTTCAGACTAACGGACAAAAGAGCACCACTACCATCCGTTACCTAGCAAACCAAACACAACAAACCATGCCCTCTGCTCCAAATAACTGTTGTAATTGATTCCTAGTGTTTGGATATTGTTTTTTTTGTCAAAAAAAACATGCATTGCCATGGCAAATGCCGCTTCTTCTAGTCAAAGGCCGACTCGGGCCTTTGATGAGCGGCGACTCCATGTCACAGCAGATCGAGTTTAGACTGAATCTGACTGCTGTCACCACCAGCAGTGGGCTTGCCCCAGGTTACCAAAGAGCCGTCGTCCAGAACAGCAGCGAAAGCATACCAAGCTGCTTGGATCTGCCGGACCCGCACCAACTGCTCTCGTACCCGGCTGCTGTCACCACCGCAGTTCGGGTCGCCCCAAGTCACCACAGAGCCGTCGAGGATGGCGGCAAAAGCATGAAGGGTTGCTTGGGTCTGTTGGACCCGGGCTGCTGTCACCGCCATGGTCAGCATTTCCCCAAGTCACCACGGAGCGGCGGCAAAAGCTTCCCACGTCGCTTTGATCTGTTGGACCCGCATTGACTGCTCTTGCACCTGGCTGCTGTCACCGCCACAATCTGGATGACCCCAAGTCATCACAGAGCCATCGGCCAAAATTGCTGCAAAACCACTTCTAGTTGCTTGGATCTGCTGGAACAGATCCATCGTCCAGGATGGCAGCAAAAATACGCTTGCTGCGTATATCTGTTTGACTCGCGCCAGTTACACCTGGCTGCGCTCAACGTCGTAGTCAGGATAGCCCCAAGTCACTACAGAGCCGTCGTCCAGGATGGCAGCAAATGCATAGTGACCCGCACCAACTGCTCTCGCACCTGGCTGCTGTCACCACCAGAGTCAGGATGGCCATGTCACCACAGAGTCGTCGTGCAAGATGGCAGCAAAAGAACCTGCAAACGTACTTGGGATCTGTTGCACTTCCCTCAATTGTTCTTGCACTGCTCTGCTGCTGTCACCGCCTTCGATAGGATTTCCCCAAGTCACCACAGAGCCTCCTGCAGCATATAAGGCGAAAGCCTGTCCTGTGGACGCCAACTTAACGCTCCGCACAACGGCGTCCACGCGGTCCGCCTTGCGCAAGGTGGACGGCAAATCCAGCAGACTGCCGCCAAACGCCGCCGCTGCGCCTCCAACTTCAGCCAAAGAACAGAACTGTCTGGCGACACCGTGACGGCGCAGCAGTGGCCGCTTGGCAGGCCAATCTCCACTTGCCAAGGGCTGTGGAGCGCCCATGTCTTGCAAAAGGGCCAGCAACGCAGTCTACCTGGAAGGCGGTATCGACTCTGGGTTAGAGCCAGCGAGGCAAAGAGGGCTGGTTGATGCAATTTGCCTTGCCTGGGTCGTATGCCGGGGGGGTGGTGGAAAATCATTTGTATGTGTGACATCCAATCATTTGCGGGTTTCCTTATCGGGTTACTGAGAAGGGCACTTGCCCAAAGGACCGGGGACCTTAAAAGGTCAGATCCGGTCGATCGCTTTGGTTAGTGAGATCCAGGCGTTTCGGCACGAATTATTAGGCAACCCTTCAGATTTCTTGCCTCCACCTGGACTCCCAAACTACCCCAAAAAAAAAGGAACAACAACAGAAAGAAAGAACAACAACGAGAAATCGCCCCCCCCCCCCCTCCCCTCCTCCCCGCCCCCTCCCCCCCTCCCGCCCCCTCCCCCCAGAAGTTTGGGCATTCGCCAGATGGCTTGGCGCCCGGAAGGTCCGGTCCGGACACTTCCGCGTCCGAGCCGGGCCGGGCCCCGACTGCTTCGAACCCCCGAGCCAACTCCTTGGTCCTGGGGGTGCGTGACTGAGCCCAGTGGTTCAATTGGAACACCGAATCTGCGACTTTTTGCGGCTTCCCGGCTTCCCCATCCCAACTCCAGGAAGCCAAAGGAAGGTTGGACCCCTCAAAAAAAGGAGGAGGGGATCAGGCCAATTGGGGATTCGCCGTTCCAACATGGACTTCCAGTTGCTGAAATCGCCCCGTGGCAAACATGAGACAATATGCCAGTAATAACAGATTCCCTTTAACACCAACAGGAGGAAATAGAACAGATTCTTAAGCAAATGGAAATGGAAGCGGACAGGAGGGTAATCCAAAGGACCACAACAGGGGCGGTCTAACATGGTCTAACAATTCCATCAGTCCCTCTTTGAGGATACCAGTTCAACAACCCCGGCTGACGCAAAAGATCCGAATCCTTGTACAGCCGGTATATTTTGCCTGCATCCTTGGGCTTCCCATCCAGCTTAGAAAGCTCCGTGCCGAACGAATCGACTCGATCGGTTCGCCCCGGTTTCCTTCCATCAGCCCGCCTATGGCGAACGGCTGTCGGTCGTTAACACCGGCGTTGGCCGAGTGAATCCTTCTGTAGGTTTGCCTTGTCACACGTCGGCTCAACTAGCTTGAACTTCTCTCTTCGCGCAGCTTGAGCCTACCGAATGACCCCTACCTGCAGTGATCAGAAAAAAAAGCAGCCCCTTTCCCAGCAACAAAACGGACTGCTCGTGATTGCTCTTGCCTGGGATGTTGTCTCTTTTCTTTCTTCTTTTTTCTGGGACCCTGGTTCCATCAGCGCTATCCAAACGGTCGCTCTATTTCTCACTTGCTGAGTGGATGGCACAAAAAAAGTCCAAACTTCATACTTGCCGCTAAAATGGTCCAACCCCAAAACGTTTTTTAAAGTTCATGAACTCGGGACTCGTGAGATGTTGAGCCCCAAACACGAAACCCACTTCGCAAGCCCGCGCGGAGGATCACCCGTGCTACTCCTCCAGCTGGAGGCGCGAGGAGGCGCAGGCGCGAGCGAAGAGCTGCGAGTCTCGCCCTCCCAACTGCCCCCTACACCAAAACGCTGTTTTCAGGCTTGGAAAACCTGGTCTTTGGAACACACCAACTACCAACGCTTTCTTTTTTTTAAGTTGGTATATTCTTGCTTGAAAACCGATCGGCTTTTTTCAGCTGGTATTCTTGGTTGAACACCAATCCGTTTTCCATAGTAAATACCAAACCTTTTTTAGTAAAGGGTCAACGTGATAACCTGAGAAAGGGCCGGGTATTTCGAGTAGGGGGCATGGGGAGGTTGGTCACCGATTTTCGCTTGGCCGCCTCTCAAGGGTCAGAAGTGGGGTGAGAAGCATAGTAAGCCCATCCAGGAGGTGGCTTAACCCTTCCTTCGCCCAAGAAAAATGAGAAGATATGTTCAGTGCAATCGACCCCCTTTAAAACCAACAGGGGTTAAACAAACAAAAAAAACAAGTTGCTTTGGCATCAGGGGGGCTCGGGTCCGATCCATGGAACATGGGGAGTTCCTCTGTTTTGTTTTTTGGTTTTAACTTTTTCTGCGTACCTCAGCCCCAAGACCCTTACTGCACCTGCTACTCCCAGTCCCCCTGCTGGTTTTCGGGTCTCAGATTAACCCCTGACTAAAAACTACGGGTAACAACTCATGCTTCCATTTGCTTCATGAAAGTATCCAAGACACTAAACCAAATAGGGTATTTGGAGTAGCGGGGTATATGAGGCGGGGTTAGCGTAGCTTCCTGAGTGGATTGGCCACTAAGAAGTAACCTCACTTTCTGTTTGCCACCTAATTTTGGCCACCAACTCCCAAACAGTGACGACCAAGTCCATTTCCGCAGCGGATCTGAGTAACCCCTTGAGGCCTGGGCTTCTCCAAGGATAGCCCCCCCCCCGCCCCGCCCATAGGCCCCGCTTCGAGGTCCAGCCATGGCCCCTCGCGGCTTCGCTCGCAGCTTCGGGCGCCCGGCCACCTCAGGCCTAGATTGCAGCTGGATGGAGCTGGTGCCTCGGTGTGGTTTGGCCCCTTGGGGCCTTTAAGGGGGGCCCAGGAGACTCTTCCCCAAACCATTGGCCTCGGAAAACCACCGGGAAAACCAACTTGGTTTTTGAGACACACCTCCACAAGGTGGGTTTGTTGGCCGGGGTCGTGAACCATCCATTTCTCACTTCTCATCGATGGAATTTTGCCAAAATACAGTCGCCAAACTTGTTTGCCACTAAAATGGTCCAAGCCCGAAGATGAAGTCGGAAGCGTGGCGATTTAGCTCCGTTTTACCACCAAACCACCGATTCGGCTCCAAATCACCGATTCGATTGTAGAGGGAAGCTTGAAGGAAACAAGCCTTTTTCGGCTATAGGATCCGGATCGCGGAAACCTTTAGGCCGGGCGTTCTTTGGTTGCAGAGAGCCCTAAAGCGGCTTTCAAGGGGTCCCATTCACCCACAAGAGCCAGGGTTTCAAGGGGTACCTGAGACAACCCCACAACAAACACCTCCAAGAAATAGAGCTGAAAATGGTCAAGCTGCATCCTTTCAGGCAATGCTTCAAGCTTTCTAAGGAGCTACAACCAGGGATGGTCAATCTCAGTTGTCCCACCCCCTGGTCATGACCCTGTACAAGCAACTTCCCCCTACTCCAAATACCCCCAGCTTTTTTCAGGGTATCATGTTGACCCTCCACCAAAAAAACAAGGTATTTACCATGGAAAACCAGGTTTTCCGCAAAACACCCTGACAAACACGGGAACTTTGAGTAGGGGGTTGATCATCCAAGCAATGTTTGTCAGCATGTTGATTTGTTGAGTTGCTTTGTTCTGTGCTTTGTCAACTGTTTGCCTGTTACTTGCTGACGCGTAGTGTGCTTTCGGCTCACGGGTTGTCATCTTGCCTATAAAATCAGAGTGTCTTTCATAACAGGCCCTCCCCAAGAGAAAAACATAATTGTGGTGTTCCCTTCTGGTCTCCCTGTAAAACCACTTAACAAGGGCTACTGAGCTTCAAACAACACGTGTGTCATGTCTTTGACCACTTTTTCTCGAGTGCATTTTTGCAACTTCGGTCACTTCCGTCCGTGCTCGCCCCCAGGCCCCTTAAATGTGCAATCGAAGCAGGGTACGTCAGGTAAGTGGTGAGTAAACATGGTGAACACTTATAACCATGAATCGTTTTTGTGGGTTATCTCACCATGGTTCTTACCCACTTACCTGACGTACTGAATCGATCACCAAAGGCTCCCGACTGCTCGAGCTTTCAACATGGAGCTATTGAATTTGAGGGTGTGTCTGGGAGGGGACGAAGCCTCCCTAGACGGGCCCATAAGCGTCTGGCAAACAACCAATTACTTTCCCCCACATTTGAAAAAAGCAAGCAAATCACTGTCACGCAAGCTCTGTTCTCAAGGTCAGTGCAGATTTCGTGGCCGGCGCAGCTCTTTCGCAAGGTCAGGTTCAGGTTTCGTGCAGCATTCTTGGCAGGCGCAGCACTTTCGCAAGGTCAGGTATAGGTTTCGTGGCAAGCGCAGCAAGGTCCAGTACAGATTTCGTGGCAGGAGATAGACAGATAAAGTGATACACAGACAGATAGGTAGATACATAGAAAGTAGATAGTTAGATAGATACATAGATAGATAGATAGACAGAGAAATAGATAGATAGATAGATAGAGTCATAGATAGATAGAGTGAGACTAAGTAGGCCCTTCGAAAAGTCTAGCCCGAAAAGTCTGGCCCTTCGAAAAGTCCAGCGCGCAGCTAGCAGCGCTCTGACAGGTTCTATTCTTACAAGTCCCTTTTCTGCGAAAGTTATAGCATGTCTCCAACCAAAACTCCATTTCGGTAGCTCCGAAGGAACATCCCTTTTCAAAAGCAACACTGGATAACCCTGGCACCCCCAGCTCCCAGCTGTAAGGTCCGTATATGTATGTGTTAAATTACTTTTCATATAAACCCGAAAATAAATTTCCGATTGTCCTTTTGGCTTCCCTTCTAAGCCACCGTCGAAAACGCGTATCTGATTCGCACCCCAAAAAGAATTACAGTATGAGCCTCAGGCTGCCGATCCGAGTAAAAGTTTCGCACCGATTGGCCGGGCGATGCCCGTAACCTCCAAACTCCCGGCGTCTTTTGTTGACAATTGGGTCTGAATTTAACTCGATGGGTATCATAGAGCACCGTCACCACCCAATACCCACTTCTTTCTGTAGGACATGATGTCAACGATCAACCCTTGACCCAAAAAAACGCGGAAGAAAGGGACCGGCCTGGACCCTCAAAAACCGACTGGCTTGCCCATGATATACCATGAAAACCAGCAGGCATCTGAGGTTTCGGGGCCCGGTAAGCAGTTATTTTCATCTTCGGGTGTTACCCTACTCCTCCACGCGCTGTGAATGTTTTGTTTTAACCGGGGAGGGTACCTACTCCAAATACCCTCTTTGTTTAAGGACATGGTTTAGAAAACCCGGGTGCTTCAGGCTAAACCCCGCCTTTCTTTCGCCAGGGGTTGCGCATGTTTCTCTTACAAGCAGTCAAACTGAGCCTGAATCCTACTGCTGTCACCGCCACGTTCAGAATCGCCCCAAGTTACCACAGAGCCGTCGGCCAGAATGGCAGCAAAAGCAGAATACGTTGCTTGGATCTGCTGGACCTGCACCAACTGCTCTTGCACCTCGCTGCTGTCACCGCCAGAGTTAGGATCGCCCCAAGTTACCACAGAGCCGTCGGCCAGAATGGCAGCAAAAGCAGAATACGTTGCTTGGATCTGCTGGACCCGCAACAACTGCTCTTGCACCTCGCTGCTGTCACCGCCTCCGTAAGGATCGCCCCAAGTCACCACAGAGCCATCGGCCAGAATGGCAGCAAAAGCAGAATACGTTGCTTGGATCTGCTGGACCTGCACCAACTGCTCTTGCACCTCGCTGCTGTCACCGCCTTCGTAAGGATCGCCCCAAGTCACCGCAGAGCCTCCTTCGGCATACAGCGCGAATGCTAGCCCATCTGTGGCTAGCTTCACCTGCTGCGCGAGTGCAGTAATACAGTCCCCATCTCGCAGGCCCACCTCAGCCAGAGTACACGATGCGTCCAGCTTCTCGCTTCCGAACAGGAGCCTCAGAAAGCGTCGCTCGAGCTGGTGTTGCGCCTCGACCTTCAGTTCACGAATGCTCGACTCGGGAGGCAGTGCAATGGAGCAGCTCTTTCCACTCGCCAGGTACACATGCAGTTGCATAGTTGCATGGCGCCGAATTGACCCAGGCCCTCGAGAGGTACCAAAAAAGGAGGTATGTTTACCTTGGAAAACCGATCGGTTTTCAACCAAAAATACCAACTGCAAAAAGGTCGGGTCATTGGGTGTAGGGGGTAGAAGTACCCCGTTCTTCATGTAGTCTCTAGGGACCTTTTTTTCTGCTCGAGGCAAGCGAAGGGCCGGCACTTCCTGGATCCCCTGCAAATGGGCCCGTGGGTCAAAAATAGGCCCAAAGTTGAACCCCGGTAAGTGGAAGCATAGACCAAAACCTGTGGACTTCTGGTGGTATAATTTTGACCCATACCATGAT